TGCCGAAACCGGGCATGAAATCTGGCTCTGAAATGGCCTGGCGGCTGTGGCGAAAGGCAGGCCACTGCTGCATGGCCAAAGCAAGCCCTGGGCCTCCTTGGCCAGTCAGCTGCCTGGACAGCGTTTATCCTGTGTACACTTGGCAGCGACCAAGTGGGTGGTCCTAGAAACAGCCACAACCTCGTTAAGCAGATGTTTCCTTTGGGCCTTAGCTTTCTCTGCTGTGTCTCAGCCAGGCCTCTCACCTCTGCGACGCGCTCAAAGGCTACTGGCCCCTGGATGTCCTGCCGTCACCGCCCATGTCCCACCCAGGCTGTCAGCGCCCACGAACAGTGCGTCCCACTCGATTGCCCGTTTCTGTCAGTGGCCTGTCACCCAGCCCCACCATCTTGGTGGGCTGTGACTCGCCTTCCCCTAATTCCACTTGGTCACCGTGTCCTGGAGTCTTCCTTTCCACCTTAGCTTCCTTAAATCCCCCAGGAAGAGCCCAGGGCACCCCCTGCCTCTCTCTGTGCTCTAAGTTCCTTGGTCTATCCAGTCCTATTGCTTGAGCCTTCCTGTGGCCTAGCCCCTTCCCCTTCTCAATCTCCTTCCCCATTTGCCCTTAAGCCATATCCTCCCATTCTCCCAAGCCCTGCTCATGACCCATTCCTCAGCCTTCTCCTAGGGTGGCCCTGTTCCTGCTCTTTGGGGACCCGTGGCATCTGCCTGCACTGGCTGTTGGGGTTGCCTCCTGGTGGCCCTGCCCTCTGTCACTCACACCAGTCAGTCTTTGGAGATGACGCTCAGATTGCTGATCTCTTTGCCAGCCCCCTGTGGTGCTTCGGCAGTTCTAAACCTCCCTGCACGTTGGACTATCTTGAGGGGCTTTAAGCAAAGTGCTCTGGAGCCCCCCTGAGCTAAATCACACCCTACAGGTGAGGCACAAAGCTCCCCAGGAGATTCCAACTGCAGCCCGGGCTGAGGCCCACCGGCCTAGGAGTAGCAACGTTTATTGAATAGCTAGCATGTGCCTGCTGGTATCTGCTCTCGGGCTTAATTCTTACCTCTACGTGGCAGATAATCAAAAGACCCTTCTGCTCTCAGGGGGGGTCGATCTTGCCTGTATGATTGTTTCTACCAGGGCAGGATGGGGTTGGATGGAGGGCATTCAGGCGGGGCTTCATGCAAGGAGCCAATGGAAAGGCAGGATCTATACAAGGCAGGATACGTTTTCTGTGTGCATCTTGAGTAGTGGGAGGCTGTTCCTGGGATAAGGTATACCACGGAAAATGCACCAAAAGATGGGAGCAGAAGGGAGGGAGAGAGAAGGGTGTTGATCGGAGGAGGAGAGGTGGGAGCAGAAAGGCAGGTCAGGAAACTGGAGAGTTTTGCCACAAGGCAAAAATGCATCCGTCTAATGGGTCCCTGGGACTCCAAGACTAAAGTCGCGTTTCTATTAGAGGGGCATCTCCGAAGAACTGTCCTGGGGCTGCCTGTCCACCGGGGAAGACTTTCAGGGAGGAGGAATGGTGCTGGGGACCCCAGTCTCCTCTCCAGACCCCAATTTGCATTTAAAGGCCCAGTGGTTGAGGCTCTGCCCACAGAGTTCCTAGGGGTTCAGGGTGGAAATGAAGGGCGAGGGTCCCCGTGACTCACCCGGGAGGTTGGAAGAGACAGAATGGCCATCTGCTGTGCTCCCCAACACCTCGGGGCTCACTGGCCTCTGGCTTTGCTGGGCAGCTCACAGGTTCAACAGTGTGGGCCCCTCACAGAAGCCCCTATTTCCGCTGGACTCTGCGTTCAGCTGGGGAGCCCCTTCCTAAGACACTTCTGGGATTTGGAGCTTGTTGGGGAGCCCCTTTTCAGGGCTGAGGATGGAGGCAAGGTCCAGGCCTCCCTCAGTTTCCCCCCACAAATCAGGCCAGTCTCCGTGACACGTCCTGGCCTTGTCACCAGCTCTGACCCTAGAGGTCTCCTTGGAGGTAGCGCTTTTTTCCCTCCCCTCTACCTCCATCCAGGGAGCCAAGCCCAGAGGTGGCAAGTAAGGTAGGATTTGTTTTCCTGTGCAAACCCACTGTGAAATATTTATGAAGCACGTCTTGAATAATTAATAGTTTCTCACCATTTTAAAACATGTCTCCGTATTATCCTCTCTCAGCCCCCAGGACAACCCCCCCAGCCTGTGCTGACAGGAGTGTCAGGGCAAAGCCAGCAAGGGTTACTCCCTTCTAGGGCTTCTAAGACCCCCACCCACAGGCTGCCAGGGAGCCCGCTCTCCTTACATGTTGCCCCCCACCCTGTCTATCTTAACTTCCCTGGTTGTGACTGTCTCTCTAGGACCACCCCCCCCCACCCCCCCTTCCCTGCCTGGAAACCCTTCAGCTCAGACTCTTCTCTTCCCTTCTGTTCCCTCTTCTCCCCTTCTCTCTCTCTGTCTCTCTCTCTCTCTGACTCTCCTTTGCTTCCCTCTCAGGAAGTCAACAGGACCCAGGACTGAAAGCTCTCCCTTTACAGACAGTTGGGGCAAAGACACCACTTGTAGGAGGTGACACTAAGTTGCAGAACCAGAAAACAGGTGCCTTTGAGATAGCCACTTTTTGACCAGAAAGGTTAATAGCCACTTTTTGACCAGAAAGGTTAAGTGACTTGTCCCGAGTCACACAGCGTCTTGATCTAGACAGAGCTGAGAAAGGAGGGCCCGTTCCCCACCTCACCCCACCCTTGTTGAAGTCTCCAGTAGTGCCAGCAGCCTAGCCAGGATAAGGCATCCCTCAGCTTGGTGGGTGCCACGGGGATGCCAGGCCCGGGATCTGCACAGACCCGAGGGCGGTGCGCGTGGGCGGACACCGGTGCAGCAGTCAGCGAGTGTCCCTGCCTGGAATGGGGCGTATCCGTGTCAGGCCGCAGGCTTCAGGCTTCTCTTCTCTGTTACGGATCCAGGCCTCTCCGTGGGGAGGCTGCCTGCCTACTCCTGAGTGGGTTCAACTTTCGGTGCAGAATTCTTTGAGGAAGCGGGGTGTATGTGGGGAGGGGGTGGGCAGAGGGGGGTGGAGAGAAAGCTTCATTTAAATGCAGATACAGACTTCTCACCTGGGACTGAGGAAAGTTTTTTTCCATTAAAATGCTAATGAAAGAACACACAGCAACTCCAAATCCTCAGCTCCCAGCGCCCCCACCCTGTTCCCAGCCTGACTCCCCCACTCAGTCCCCCAACCCTTCTATGCATCTCCCCCTCGATTTCCCTGCGGCCGTCGCAGCCCATCGCTCTGGCCCCGGGGAGCTTAGGGCAGCTCTCTGAGAGGCCTGTGGAAGGGGCAGGTCACCTTCCGAAAGCAAATGAGACTGGAGACCGGAGCGCGCTGGAGTCAGGTCTGAGGTGTGCCGCTTTTCCGCTGTGTGACCTTAGAAACTTTGCCTAACATCTCTGAATCTCGTCTGTAAGATGGGTAATGATACCTACCTTGTAGAATTGACTGGGCAGTTCAACTACTTATATATATTTAGTATATATTGAATTATTTATATATATGAAGATATATCAAAGATATTAAAAAGTCAGTACATAGCAGCTTTTATGATTGTTACTCTTATTAATATAGAGATACAAACTCCCAGGGGCTAGAATGTTGCCTCGCCACACAAGCCTAAGAAAACTGGGCTGGCTCTCCGGGAGGCCACCATCAATAAGGATTCGAGAAGGTGGCACCGGGCCTGGGGTGCTGCCTCACCCCTGCCCAGTCGCCTCCTCGGCCCGGCCTGGTTGTGCCTCAGGCCAGATCCTTTCCTACACAGACGCTGACGCTCTCAGACCTGAAGCCCAGCCGAGGGCCCATGTCCGGAGGCACCCAGGTGACCATCACGGGCACCAACCTGAACGCGGGCAGCAATGTGGTGGTGACGTTCGGCAAGCAGCCCTGCCTCTTCCACAGGTAACTCACTGCAGGGCCGGCTTTGGGGTGCACAGCATGGAGTAGGGCTAACCTCGGCAGGTGCTTCCTCCTCCCTGGAAAGTGGCCGCTCTCTTTGGGAGAGGGTTTCCTGGGCACACCAGGCTGCGGAGGTTTGTCTCAGTTCCCTGGATGGGGCCCTTGTGCTGCTTGCTGCCACCGTTTCGCCTAGATGCCCCATGCCACCTACTGTGCAGAAGACCCTAGGGCTCCACGGGACACAGTTTGGAACCTAGAGCCCCTCCCCCCAGGGCGGCTCCTTGCTAGCTGCCATAGAGCCAGCTGGCAGGGGCAGCAGCCCAGCTAGCCATGACGATGGACTCTCTAAATGCAGCCAAACTCTCTCCCATCTGTCTCCACTGTCCAGCCCCAGAAGGGCCGGCCTTCCATGAGCCAGGAGCCTCGGGGACAGCAGGGAGGCGGGAGGTGCACCACCGGGAGGGCACTAGGACGTGTGGCAGGAGACTGAGGTTCTACAGAGAGGTTTTCCCAGGAGGGAGCTGTGCTGAGGGCCATGACAGATCTGAAGCCACACCAGGCCAGGCCTTGCATTAGTAATGTTAAAGACAAACTTATTGTGACACTTGTTAACGTGGCCAAGAAGAGTTTCTTCAGGGCTGTTGGCAGTGGGTGTCAAGCGTTCACAGTGGAGGACAGAGCTGGGACTCCACTCCAGATAGAGCAGAGCCAGCCGGGGATGTACACCCAACAAGCAGAGTGAGGGCTCCGCGGGTGGACCATTGCTAAGAGGAAATAGTAAGGGGTAGAATCCTTACGAAACCAATAACAGGGTTCTTGCAGGAGGCCGGCCAGGGTGCTCAGATATCATGGGTGGGGGGATTCTTGCTAAACTGACTTCACAGGGTTCTGGCTAGCAATGGGGCCGGGCAGGCTGA